AGTAAATAACGGCTTGCATTGCTCTTGGACTAGGCTGATTGCCACTATGCTATGATTCATTGACATGTTTTTTTAGTTGGCTGACATTATCGTTCAGGGTTTTACCTGGAGCCCTTCTGTAGGAAACTGGCATGGGAAATCTCAGCACCAACAGGATAAAATGCATTTAACCTTGTTTGTTTTGGACACAGATAATCCTGTGCTTTCTGGGTTATCATTACACAAGAAAAACCAAATGTATGCTAAGTGATAAAATTAGTTACACATTTTGTGGAAAAATCGTTGATAAAAATGTAATGAATGCAATGATAGAAATAATCAGATCAAAGAATTTCAAATTCAAAGAGTACATGATACACTCAGGGCAGGAAACATCACACAGGACTTTTTAGTTTTCAGCACAGTATATTCCCAATAGATTATTATATTTCTATGGGATATATTAGAAAATATGTGTTAGGAATTATAGACAGAAGTTAATAGTAAATCGATACACAGCAATAAAGAATTCTATTCCAACTTTTTTCTAAATTAAAAGTGAAGTGGTGCCAGAGAGATAGTACAGGAGGTCAGACATTGTCCTTGCATGAAACTGAGCCCAGTTTAAACCCCAGCACTGTATATCAAAGCTGAAAATTGTCTGGGGTAACTCCTGATCGCAGAAACAGGAATAGTTGCTGAGCTCTGTTGGGTGTGAACCCCCAACTCTGCCACAGAATGAAGATAGAAAAGGTGATAATTTGAGAAGAAAGAAAAAAGTTTTTGCTTTCTTTTTTTTTTTTTTTTGAGACATGAGAAAATAGGACTGGAGAAATAGTATAGTCAGGTTTGAGACTTAGCTTGCATAGGTTTGATCTCTCACACTGCATATGATCCCCGCCAAGAGTTCAGGGATGATTCCGGAGTGCAGAGCCAGGTGTAAGTCTGTAAGCCCCAAATACTGCTAGGTTCATTGATTTACTGCTTAACGTTCATTGATTTAAAGAAGGCCTTTGATTCTGTTGAGACGGAAGCGGTCATTGAAGCCCTAGCCAATCAGGGCATTCAAGCCCAATACATCAGGATCCTCCGTGAGCTGTATTGCGGATTCACTACCAGGATCTCACCATTCTACAAAGAAGTGATCGTTGATGTCAAGAGAGGGGTGCGGCAGGGTGATACCATTTCACCGAAACTCTTCAGTGCCACCCTCGAGAACATCATGCGACGACTGGAATGGGAAGGAATGGGAGTGAAGATAGATGGTCGGCAACTACACCACCTCCGCTTTGCTGATGACATTGTTTTAATAACACCAAACATCAGCCAAGCGGCACAAATGCTGGCCGACTTTGACCGTGAGTGTGGAAAGGTAGGACTACAGCTGAATCTTACGAAGACAATGTTTATGAGAAACAGCCTTGTTCCTGACGCCCCATTCGCTCTCAATGGAACGACCATCTCCGAATGCAACAGCTATGTGTACCTAGGTCGAGAGGTCAACATGAGAAATGACCTGGCACCCGAGCTGCGCAGGAGGAAGAGAGCGGCTTGGAACGCCTTCAAGAACGTCGAAGAAATAGCTAAGAGGACGAAGAACCTCCGGCTCCGGGCACATCTCTTTGATTCCACTGTTCTTCCTGCATTAACATATGCCTCAGAGACCTGGGCCCTACGCAAACAAGATGAGAACGCCATTCAGGTCTCCCAAAGAAGAATAGAAAGAGCTATGCTTGGAATATCACGTTTCACTCAAATGAGAGAACGAATCCGGAGTTCTGACATCAGTCGACGATCAAGGATCAGGGACGCTGTCTCGTTTGCCAAGGTGTCGAAAATCAGATGGGCTGGTCACGTAATGAGATTTAAAGACGACCGTTGGACTAGAGCTGTTACTGATTGGATTCCGCGGGATGTCAAGAGACCGCGTGGCCGCCCACCTACCAGATGGTCAGACTTCTTTGTCAAGGTCATGAACGATCGGTTTGAGGCCCTCCATGTTCCCGGAGCGAAGAGATGCCATTGGGCTACACTAGCACGCGACAGGGACAAATGGAGACGTTACTGGCGCCCGCTCGAGCAAATCGACGACTAACGGGAAGTTAAGTGATTAAGTGATGGATCAAAAACAAAACAATAACAACAACAACAACAGCTAACAAACAAAAAAGAGATGTGAGAAGCTTAAGGATGTTTAAAGACTTTTGATATGGCCTGACTAGAGAAGTACAGATGTCAATTTTTTACATTTAACATCAAACATCAAAGGGGGTTTGCTTAGAATATGAGCACTGAGGAAAGAGCAAATATTTAGAGTATAATGTGAAGGTATGGGTTTTAGGTGGGAGGAACAGAATATCTTACTGCCAGTTCACATCATATGAGAACCCTTATGGTTTTCTGTATTTTGATGGGAAGTTGAGGGGGTCTTAACATACCTATGTTTTTTTCCTCCATTGCATAGAGTGAGAGATCATTTGCTGAGACTGAAAGGGGTGAGGTAAGAAAATTTGCAGTTTTAAGACCCTGGGACTTTAAATACCTTTCAGATGATGGGAAAAATATTACATAAAGATTGTCCAATTTAAGGACAATAGTGAAGGCTCAAGTGAGTGGTGATGGCAGATTTACAGTGACAGCAATCTGCTTCAAGATCTGGTCTTTGGTTTCTTCCAGCTGTTCTCAGTTCCCTGGGTGCAGGCAATCAAGAGACACATGTCTGGGTTTTCATTTGACAGGTTTGAGGTAAGAGTCAAAGGTTGAAATGAAAGATAAGTTGGTAAGAAAAGGGAGTAAAAAGTGGAGTAGGTGGAAGAACAGGAAGTGCTGTTGTGCTTCAAAAGGAGAAGTAGTGTAAACAGAGAGCTATTTGGTAAAAGGAGGTTGGAGGGTGATCCATTTGAATAACTGGTTTTGCAAGTAATAAACATTTATGGTGTGCTTCTGAGAATAAATGACTAAGGTGCCAATAGAGATGAGGTAGTGAAGAAACCAGGTGGGCGTGAGTTGCACCTTAGTCTTGCAGGATAGTAAGAATTATAAGGGAAATAAGGAAGGGTGGTAACGTAAACTATTCAGAAAATGACAGTTGAGAAGCCAGTGATGACAGCAGTGTAAAGAGTTAGAATATAGTATTATTAAAACAATGAGCTTCAAATGGGCAGTGATTTTAATAAGCATAAGGGAAATTAATATTCTAGAAGTGAAAGCAAGGAACATGGATGATTTCTAATTGCTGCTGGACTTCGAGGTACAGAGGATCTGTGAGAATGAGCAGGCTCCCCATAAAGGTGCTTCTGCAGAAATAATTGCTTTCATGGAACATCAGATTTCAGTTTAACTGAAAAGATGCTGTGTCCTTTTTACCTCCTCCCTCATATACTGTCTATATATCTACCCCCATGAATATAAATGATGACTCCGAATACTTGGTTTCTAGCTTTGGACTGCTTTGAGCTTTCTTTAGACAATTATAACTGCTTGTTGAGTGTATAAACCAATGTTCCACAGGCATCAAAACTTACCGTTTCCAAAGCTGAACTCATTTCTGGCCTTTCTTTCACTATTCTATAATTGTATAAATATCCTATCTATCCATTTGCTCACATCTGAGTCCATAGCAAAAGTCTTGGCATCTATCTCTTCCCTATATCAAATCTTTCATCAAACCTAGCCAGTTCAATTTCCTGATTCTATTTCATTGCACTGCCACCACTTCTAATCGGGGACAAATTTTTCTCTCTTTTTTTTTCTGAATTACTTTAGCAGCCTTTCACTCACCTCTGCATCTAAATGGTTCTTAAATCCATTCTCCACACTACAAACAGTGTGATATTTCTGAAAGACAAATCTCATCATGTTACTACACTGCTTAATGCTATCTGTGACTGTTTAAGTAAAATGTAAGTAAGCAGAGTCCAGTAAGAATATAATTAAATCAACACAGATTATTTCAAAATTTCTAGTGAACACTTAAAAAAAGTAAAAAATGAGCAGATAAAATTATTCATAAGAATATATTTAATTTATTCTAATATACCTAAAATATTTTAACTTGATGTGTAATCAATAAAAAGCATTGAGCTATTGTGCATTGTTTTGCATTGTTTTTGAAATCTGTGTAGTTTACAAGTACAACTCATATTTAGATCAGTTATATTTTAAATATTCATAAATATAAGTGTCTGAGGGAATCGTTATATGGTGTGTGCTCATCTTTGACTCAACATATTAACTCTTGTTTTTTGGGGGGTCACGCCTGGCAATGTTCAAGGGTTACTCCTGGATCTTCACTCAGGAATAACTTCTGGTGGTGCTAACAGGACCATATGGGGTGCTGGGAATAGAATTCGGATCGGCCGTGTGCAAGGCAAACACCCTACCCTCTGTGCTATCACTCCAGCCCAAAATATTAACTCTTACTAGGTTCCTCAAATGATAGCTTATTAATCATTTTTCATCTCATACTTTTTGTTCCAATCATTTTAATTATAGAATCTCAGATTTCTGAGGTCTGTACTTGTTTCTTTCCTGTTGGGAATGTAATTCCTTTACATTATCAAGGTATTTTATTTTAAATTCTCCAGAAAATTGAGATGAAAGCAAATGCTCATGGGTTGTTCCTTTACTAAAGACCCGAAACCCAAGGAATAGGAGTAAAAAACAGGAGAGTGAGAAAAGAAGGAAGGAGGGAGCCAAAGATGTAAAATAAGCCTCATGCAGTGACAACTTTTCGTGAAGAGCACTCTGAGAATTTAATCCCTGGGATTGAGGGGGAGGAAGGTTTATCCATAATTTCTCCTCTCTCTCTGATCAAATGTTGAATCAGTTTGCTGTTAAGCCTCCCAACTTTAAGTTACCATCTGTAGTCAGAGAAGGTTTTGAGTTATCAGCTGGGCGAGCCCAGTTTGGGATTGAGAGACAATAGTTAGAAGGGCTATAGTGTAGCAGTTTGAGGTTGTAACTGATGAGTTTGGTCAGAGACTGCCACGATTTGGCCTTTGTGCCAGCTAGAAGAGTTGAAGACTCTACTTTCAGGGATCATTTCTATAGTTCCTTACTAGAGAAGTTTCTCTAATCATGTAGAGCACCTGAAACCCCAACGAGTAGCCAGAGGGCCATCTCCGGAGGGTCAAGCCGTGTCTAGGTATTGCTTTCACAACTTTCTTCTACTGTTAATGATCATTCTCTTCCTTTGGAAGAGTGAGAGAGAGAGGATGTAGTCTGAGTGCTTTTATGGGAAAAATATATAAAAGAGCTGGGTGAGACTGAGAGAACATAAGTTGATTCTGAGAAATTAATATCAGTTGGGTAACGCCTATTGATCCGATAGAGGTCAGGGCACATGTGATTATCTTGAAGATCAATCCCTGATGCTAAAAAAGTTCCATCATTCTAGTATGTTCTCATGGTTGCCTGAATTCAGTTTCTTATAATAAAGCTCTTAATTTTTTGTTGTTATAGTTTATAGTATATTTTGATCATTTGTCTTGCTACCTGTGATGTATTCGATATGCCAAACACAGTAACAAGTCTCACAATGTTACTGGGACCGCTCGAGCAAATTGATGAACAACGGGAGGACAGTAACAGTGACAATGACAGTCTTGCCCATTAAATTTTAAGTTCTGTGAAGCTATGTCCCTGATTATCTTTATCATGAGATTTTGCCTATCTTCTATTTTGAAGTACTTTACAGACAATAAAGTACAGATACTTGGGGAATACTTGTGCAAATGAATGAAAATTTTCAGTTAATAAATATATAACATAAAAGTCAGTGTTTTCTTGGTAAAGACTTCTTTAGCAGAAGTACTTTCAGAATATAAATTGATTAGTGAAGGTTAGTTTGCCTGGAAAGCCATTCATGGGCTGTCAGGCTATAAGTTGGAATAATGACACAGGTGGAAGGTTCATGTTGACCAGTAAGACTGTGTGTTCCCTTAGGCTCTCTTGTTTTGCAAATTAGATTTGTCAGAAATTCACGTGAAAGCTATTTTAAAAAAAACTTTGCTCTTTAGCACATTCTAATGAGAGCCAGTTTTCCAGAGTTGTCTCAGTGTTTATATCTAATATGAAATTAAAATCTGTAAGGAAACCTAGGGTCTGCAGAACAGCAGTTCTGTCGGGCAGAATTTTCCATTCTGTTCCTAAGCCATGTCTTCTCAGAGAAAGGCCTCTGGTAACTTCTTTGTGTCAGGTGAGGAAAGCTGGGCAAAGGAGATGTCACTAGGGGAAAAAGCATCAACTTTCATTCTGAACTTTTTATGTGCCATCATCAAGTTGGCTTATGTCATAGAGAAGTCATGCTGCTGTTAATGATATTCCCACCTGGAGGCTTCATCATCGAGTTATGTTCTTGATTCCAGCTCACACATTCCAGCTCATTCCAGCGCTATGAAATATTCAGCATCCTTCTTGGAATCCATTAAGCTAATGGGAGAAACAAAAGAGAACTCTCCTTTACCCAAGAAGTCATTCAACTAGTTTTTATAACAAAGAAGGGAGTGGAAACTGGATATTATACTGAAAGCCCTTAAATGTCAGCGGAATGACTCACATATTAAATTGCATGAAGTGATTCACCTTTTTTTTTTTTGGAGAAGAATAACATGTGAAGAAGTAACTTGTTTAAATTGTCCCTGCTCATTTGCCCAGCAATGGTTTTTGCGTTTACCGTTCTTTTAATTGTTTCTTGAAAGAACAAATGTGAATTAAAAACTTACTGAAAAAAATTTATTTTAAAATTGTGCTGAATATAAAAAAATAAAACTGTGCTGAAGAAAAAATTGGAAGATTGTTCATGCTTCATGGATAAAAAAAGAGAAAATAATGACAGTGGTCTCAAAATTAAAGCATAGAACTCAAATATTTATGAACAAATATTATTAAATGAGAAGAGCTGTTTTTAGTTTTTTTCCTCTTTTTTGATTGCTCTATTACTCAGACTGAAGCCTTATTACAAAGTACTGAATAAATGAGTTCTACTAGACATATTCATTTAACAGATGCTCAATAAGTATTATTGACTAATTTAGTAGTCTGGTGAGCTTGTTAGTAAAAGTAGCATGAAAAGGAAGTTCCCTGATAATAAATTTTAGTATAAGTTAGTGTTTTTATGTGAAGTAGCTTTTAATCAAAACAATCTTGATAGTAGACTTCTGTTCAGGATGATCTCATGGACCATAGAGGGCATAAGGAAATAAGTCCACATTTTAACACTTGTTATTACAGACTCAAAAACCTTGCCTTTGGGAGTTTTAGGGGAAAATTGCCTTTTTCTTTTCAATAAGCAAAGTATACTTTATTTTCAGATGATATTAATTAGCAAAAGTTTGAAAGGTAAACAGATTTGGGATTCAGAGGCATGTCCTTGGCTTTCGAGCCCGGTTTCTGGGTGAAGAGAACAGCTCTGGAATTCTCCACTTATGAATAGTTTAGAAGTTTCCCTCCATGCAACAAATAAAATTATCAATTTATTGTGAATATATTAGCGACCTGTAGATGCTTACTCTGAACTTTATTTAGTACATGATTAATTTATAATAATAGTAATGCCTAAATGTTAATGGTTATGATTAGTGATTATTATTTTTTGGTGGAGAAATAAAAAAGAACCTAAACGTTCTGTCCTCTTCCATTAACTCCATGTGGCATTTGCTAATTATAACTCTACTATTCCCTTTGCACTAAGCAGATGGCAGGCATGGTGCTTTGAGTGTGATATTATGTTGCACTCACAGCAAACCGTAGGAGGAGGTACTGCGTTATGTTGTTTAGCAGATGAGAAAGCTGAGGCGAGATTCCGTTGCCTTCTCATCCAAGGTCACAAGTGAATAGTCTCTTATGGCTCCAGACTGTTTCCAAGTACAGATTCCTGAATTCTACCTTTTAGGTTCTGTTTCAGTAGTTCTAGTTCTGAAGTTTGGTGCAGTTTTGGCAAAATCCCTTGGGAGATTTTGAAATGAAGGTCACATAATACTGAAGAGACTATAAAAATACTTACGTCTAATTATTTGCTTATTAATTAACCTATTAAAATTCACCATGCACTAATCACGTAGAGTACACAATTTAAAATATCTTGTATGAAGTGATCCTCTTTTGGTGTTTTGGGGCCTGTATTTACTCAATGAAAGAAAAGAATCAATTGAAGTCAACAACATGCTATCAGAACCAAGATTATTAATAGCAGTAGACATAGCATTCTGATTAATTTGTTATATAAGGAGGACCTTTTAAAAATAAATAAAAGTAAGGACTATGTTAAAATAGCTTTACAAATAAGATTCTGATCACTAATATCAGTTTTACAAGGCCCTGCGTAGAGAATGATTCCTTGCATTCAGAATAATCTCAGTCATACCACTTACCCAAATCTGGCTCAGAGAATTCTCTGTTACTTTAAGTTATAGATTCATCTCCTCATTGTTGAAATACTTTAATTTTTGAATTTTTTTCTTTTATGTAAATATCCTGGAATTATTTTTATTAGTGAAACACCATGAGGTACAGTTATAGACTTATAAATTTTTGTGCTTGGGTTTCAGTTATACAATGATCAAGTACCCATCCCTCCACCAGTGCCCATCCTCCACCACCACGGGTCCAAGCATCCCCGCCACCCCCCTCCCCCCCGCCCCACCCTGCCTCTGTGGCAGGGCATTCCCCCTTGTTCTCTCTCTCTTCTTTTGGGTACTGTGTTTTGCAAGAGAGGCACTGAGTGGCAGTCATGTTTGATCTATAGACTACTTTTAGCATGCTTCTCCCACTCTGGAGGGTCCTCACAACACCCTTTATTTGGTGCTCTCTTCTCTATCTGAGCTTCCTTTTCACCTAGCATGTGTGGCTGGCCTTCAAGTCATGGAGCAAAATTCCTGGTACTAATCTCAGCCATTCCTGGGTGTTAGTCTCCCTTTTTGTTGCTTTATGTTCCCATGATGAATGCAATCTTTCTTTGTCTATCCTGCTCTTTCTGACTCATTTCACTTAACATGATACTTTCCATGTAGTACCACTTGTATGTAAATTTCATAACTTCGTCTTTTCTAACAGCTACATAGTACTCCATTGTGTAAATGTACCAAAGTTTCTTTAACCAGTCATCTGTTCTCGGACACTCAGGTTTTTTCCAGATTCTGGCTATTGTAAAGAGTGCTGCAATGAACAAACAATTGCAGATGTCACTTCGACTATACCTTTTTGCCTCTCTGAGATATATTCCCAGGAGTGCTATAGCTGGGTCAAATGGGAGACCAAATTCTAATTTTTTTGAGAATCGTCCATACTGTTTTCCAAAAGGGTTGGACCAGCCGCCATTCTCACCAGCAGTGAAGGAGGGTCCCTTTCTCGCCACATCCACGCCAGCACTGGTTCCTTTTGTTCTTGTGGATGTGGGACATTTTCTGTGGTGTGAAATGATATCTCATTGTTGTTTTGATCTGCATCTCTCTGATGATTAGTGATGTAGAGCATTTTCTCATGTGCCTTTTTGCCATTCGGATTTCTTCTTTGCGAAAGTTTCTGTTCATTTCCTCGCCCCATTTTTTGATGGGGTTGGGTGATTTCTTCTTGTGGAGTCCAACCAGTACCTTGTATATCCTTGATATCAACCCCTTGTCGGATGTGTGTTTGGTGAATATCTTTTCCCATTCTGTAGGCTGTCTTTGTATTTTGGTCACTGTTTCTTTTGAGGTGCAGAAGCTTCTTAGTTTAAGATAGTCCCATTTGTCTATCTCTGTTTTCACTTGCTCAGCCAGTGGCGTGACATCTTTGAAGATACCATTAGCTTCGATATCATGGAGAGTTTTGCCGACATTGTCTTCAATAAACATTATGGATTCCGGTCTGATTTTGAGGTCATAAATCCATTTCGATCTTACTTTTGTGCATGGTGTTAGGCAGAGATCTGAGCCCACTTTTTTGCATGTTGCCGTCCAGTTTTGCCAGCACAGTTCATTAAAGAGGCTTTCCCTGCTCCATTTCACTTTTCTTGCCCCCTTATCAAAGATTAGATGATTATATGTTTGGGAGGAAATGTCAGTATATTCAACTCTGTTCCATTGGTCTACAGCTCTGCCTTTGTTCCAGTACCATGCTGTTTTAATTATTACTGCCTTATAGTAGAGTTTGAAGTTAGGGAGGTTGATTCCTCCCATTTTCTTTTTCCTAAGAATTGCTTTATTTATTCGTGGGGGCTTATTGTTCCATATAAATTTCAGGAGTGTTTGCTA